TACCGTCCACCCAAAACCGACCAATAAAATGCTGCATAGAACAAATTGTCAAACCTCTAGAGGCATCTTTCAGAAGACGTTTCAATTTTAAAAAAACACGGTGGCATCGTTTTTCGTATCTCATAGATAACAGAATCCTTGCTCTAACTCCTAATCCATGAAATTACGAAGCAGATTGTCCAAGAATGCTCACGAAAGTCCATCTAAAGGATGCTGTAAAAAATTTGTGCCAGGACTGACAAAGAAGGGAACCAAAATATATACAGAATACAGCCGTCTGTTTCATGAAGATGTTTTTGCTGATGAAACAAAAGCAACAGGGGATTTCTCTCCAGAAGAGAATTGTGGTGGAACATGGACGAGAATATCGACCTTACACACAACAGCAAGAAAGCCTGATCAGTTATTGGTAAACTCTCCTGCGACCCCACACAACCCCTACGTCTCCCCGAACGTCACCCCAAACCAAGTTCCCAACCAATTACTACTGAACAGCAAACCAGTCAGTCAACCCGGCCACAGACATAACAAAGAGAAAATAATAAGCCCTGCCTCAGAGACTAGCTCCATTGGTGCTCCCATTAGTCTTCATGAAACCAAATTGAACAGAAAAAACCTCCGTATTGGTAATGCGGCTGGCATGGACAACATCTTTACAGAACAGTTAAAACATATTGGAGAGAAATTCCAAAACTTTGGAGAAAATCTAAAGTGATTGCCTTGCTAAAACCCGGAAAACCTGCCGATAACCCAAAAAGTTACCGCCCAATATCGCTTCTATGTCATACGTACAAGCTGTTCGAAAGGATTGTGTGGACCAGACTAATCCCCCATCTCCATTATAGAAGAGAAACTCATTCTAGGACAGGCGGGATTTAGACCGGGTCGATCCTGTACGGGAGAGCTTCTTAACTTAACCCAACACATAGAAAACGGCTTCCAAAAGGTCTCATAACGGGTGTGGGGTTCGTCGACCTGTCATCCGCCTACGACACTATCAATGTACGCAAGTTACTTGCCAAGTTCCATCACATAACCCAAGATTTCAACTTTGTCCGTATTACAGAAGCCCTCCTGAGTAACAGACGCTTTATGATCTCTACGAATAACAAGAATAGCAAGTGGCGCAATCATAAAAATGGTCTGTCCCAGGGCAGCGTCTTGACCCTAACACACTTCAACATATATACCAATGACCAGCCCATCAGCCAGAATTGCCGCTCCTTTATTTAAGCCGACGATCTCGCTCTGTCATGCCAGTCAGACAATTTTGCAAAGGTAGAAAAAAACCTCACTGAAGCTTTAAACCACCTTTCTTGCTACTACAAAGAAAGCGATCTCAAGCCGAACCCGGCTAAAACTGAAGTATGCGCATTACACCTTCTTAACAAGCAAGCTTCAAGGAAACTCCACGTACGGTGGTGCGGCGAACTCCTCAGACACAACCCCGAGCCCCGGTACTTTGGAGTCGTTCTCGACCAAAGCCTTACATACAAGAGACACTGTAGTAACACCAAAATGAAAGATGTAACCCGCAACATCCTCAGAAGATTGGATCTAAATGGGGAGCTGATCCCAAATCACATATCCACTCCACCAATCCGCTCTGGCCTTCTGCTATTCTGCAGGTGAATACGCCTGCCCAGTTTGGCATAAATCCGCTCACGCCAAGAAGGTTGACACCGCCTTGTATCAATCCTGCCGCCATGTGACCGGCTCTCAAGCCCATACTCACTCCACAACTCTCAGTTCTTTCGGCCATCGCCCCTCCAAACATCCACCGGGAGATTTCCTGCAGAGCGGAAAGAAGCCGTCAGGTGAACGACAAACGCCACCCTCTGCATGGTCAATCTTCCGCCCACCGAAGGCTCCGTTCCCGCAAAAGTTTCCTTCAGACCTGAGCCCCTCTGCAGAAACCAGCCGAGCAGGAAAGGCTTGACCTGTGGATGGACGAATGCTGCCTATCAGGCCACCTCATAAATCCCTCCGAGTCCATGCCTCGGGGTTCCGAACAACCGTGGACCATACGGAGATCCCTAAACAGACTGTGTACGGGTGTTGGTAGATGTAAATACAACTTGCAAAAATGGTGATTCTTGGCCCAGAATGACTCCGTGATTTGCTTCTGCGGTGCTGAAGAGACGATGGAACATCTGCTTTCCTACCCGGACTGGCCTAATGGTGTATCCAGAAACGACCTGTCCCTAGGAAACCAGAGAGCCTTGGCTCTGTCTACTTACCTGCAAAACAGAATTTAGCTGTCGTCGGCTCGAAAGAAGAAGAATCGGCAAAGCGCCTTAAAACTCACTAATTTCTGGTCTATTATATCGTCAGTTCGATAAATGTAAATGTTTAATATATAGATAATGCGCGAAAATATACAAAATGCGTCTGAGCCGGAACAAGCTTCAAGCTCGTCTTCTGAAATAAATAACGCGATTTAAGTGTATGTGTGTGTGTGTGTGTGTGTGTGTGTGTGTGTGTATCTCCCCACCAGAGGTATGAGATTTTAAAAATAGTAGGATGATAACATTAAAGAAACTACGTGTTAGTGATTAAGTTGAATGATTAAAAATAATATGCTCACTTTGTTAATTAAAAATAAAATCATATAATTAATTAATTAAGGTAAAAGTAAACTTAGTGAAAGTTACACTTTCAATTGCTAAGCATGCATTTCATTAATTCGAAAGTAAATTACGTTACCACCTCCCACTCTTTAGCATTACGTAATTTATCGAAAAAACCCATCGTGTTCTGTTAAAAATTTCGGTGATATATTTCTAACACATTGCTACTCCGATAGTTTGCAATATATTACTGCGTTATTAAGAGTTTGTAATTTTAGAAGTAATGTTTTCAAAATATGGGTATTTTTCATTTAATTTGGAGTGCAATCATGACCATTTAAAAAAGATGAAAATAAGATACTTCCAATTAAGCAGTAAACATATTCTTCAAGTTTTCCCTCATTTAGAGCATATTTGGCCAAATAATTTGGCTAAGATTTTATTCAAACCTGTGATATTTCAATATTATGAGAGTTGAGGTTCATTTTTGTTGCGACGCTACATTTTTGCGATGCAGGGTTCTCATCAGGGTGTCTGTGGTGTAATAGGTAACATGACTGCGGGGTAATCTCACGCATCAAAGTTCAAATCTCATTAGTGTATTGCGTGATATATTCTAGGTGATGTTCCCCTACTATAACGTGAAATCCGGCGCCTAGCTTCACGCCGACTTTCCCCTTCCGCGTATCTCCGCCAGCGGAGCAGCGTCTGAGCTGGGAAAAGCTCCAAGCTCGTCTTCTGAAATAAATAAAGCGATTTAAGTGTGTGTGTGTGTGTGTGTGTGTGTGTGTGTGTGTGTGTGTGTGTGTGTGTGACAGGAGAGGATGGGACAAGGTTGGGGAAGCAAACGTACGGTGTCCGTGACCCGTTTGTTATGACACTGCTCCAGCATTCAGCTGGTATTATGTCGAAGTTTTTTAAATCTCTCTTATCATTAATATTTACATTACAGGCTTTTTGTACACAATATTACCCAACATTACCCACAATACCAGAAACCCCCTATGGCATTTGATAAAGGAAAATATGCATAAAATGTACGAATGTGACAGAATTATATGCATTTAAAATAACCTAGACCAAGGAATACACGTCGTCAGGACAAAGTGTCAACAAACTTTGGGTTCCATACTTGAGGGTCTGAACGTGACATTCTTTCGTCAAGCAAAGCCCTGTGAACATGACTTTGAACAAACGTAGATTGGGAAGTAGAAATGGTTCTTATGAAAAATGATGCTCTTATTACAAATTTGTAAAGCATTTATTTGTAACGAGCAACGTTTGTTTGTAATAAGCATTTAAAAGTACATACTGTTGTTAAATTATTGGTTTTCTTTCCCATACTTACATATAATAATCTCCATCAAAATGTAATTTTGACGATTGTTTACTGTATTTCGTTTTCTTTTAGTGTATACAGCGTGTAATTTGTAGAAGTTGCCATCAGATTTTTAATAACAGGATTATACAGAAGACCTTCCAAGTATCGCGGTTCTGAAAAAAGTTACTCGCCCTGACGAACCGAGGTTTGTAAAGTCAATGGAAATTTGAAGATTGAAATAGCAAAATTAATCAGTGTCCTAATAAATGTAATATTAACCGGCAACATAAATAATCAAATTAGTAAAAACGTGGAACATGTCAAATAACCGTCCAATGTGGAACAGAACATTAGTAGAAAAGGGGATTTTTTATCAATATTGCATTTGTGAGTAGAAGTGCTTCAAATGATGTATAAGAGACCGCCCATAAATTAGGTACAAGTACTTGTATTTGTAATACAAATTTGAAGTAGTTTGAATAGCTTTTTTCCTCTGCAACGCACCCCTAGTGCGCCCTTGAACCCCCTTCAATTACGTAACGCTTATGACAATACTCTTCCCCATCCTTAATTACAAGAAATGAAAATAAATTATAGCACAATTAAAACAAATTTGTATTTATTTTATTTGGGTTGTCATTGTGTATTAAAATTTATGACAATTAGACTCGGTAAAAGTTAGAAATTACGCGAGAAAATATGTGCTACGCTAACACTACTAGTTTATCTTTGGTTACACATTTTTTTATCCCTTTTCAATATTTCGGATATGTCATTGGAATATTGAACTCATAATGCAGAACACACAATTTATTTTGAATCATATCAGCTTTAAAACATGAAAGTGGCATTTTTGTATTGTTTTTTTATGACAATAATTATAATATAAAATTGATAGTTGTCTGTTCCGGATCAAATGAGATAAAGGCAAAAAAAATCTTGATATTGTACAACGTTTCGACCCAAACTATGTAAACTATTATCAAGAATTTTATTTAAAGTATATTATATTCAAATTTCATGTCTGTTTTTTTCTGTCTCAACTATATAATAATGTTTTTTATTATTATAAATTTAATAGTTATTGAAGAAAAAAAACTTAAAAATTTCCGAGGCCCCAGAGCCAGCCCATGGAAAAATTGCCCCTGCCTCCCCCCTCAGGACATTACTGTTTCTCCAACAATTCGTGTTTATCCGTCACCAAATTGAGTAATAACGGTCCCGTTGCGTCCAAAAGTTACTGTACGTTTCCGTAACATCATGTGATGTTGAGCGGAAACAACACTCAATATAGAATCATGTGATTGCATATCCTCTCGCTACTTTTTACGCGCAATCTGCCCGCTGTTGCGCTATTAGGAGAGAAGCGAGAGAAGGGAGAAGTGGTAACCTAAGAAGAGCGAATGGTCCTTTAAAGGGCTCTTGTGGTGGACTGCGGTGATTGCACTGGCTCCTGGTGACTTCGGTCGTTGCGGATCACTTGTTTGGGAAAAGTAGGCGCCGGCAAGTGGCGGCGTGAGCAGAAGCGGCGGACGAGTTTTATTACGAGTTCGCTTAGGAGCGCCGTTGGAACATAAAACAGTGGTCCTATACCGTTTGTGGATCAAAACCAAGATGAAATCAGTAGAGAGGTATTTTTTCTGCATAACTTTAATATTGCAACTGTACTTCAACTGTGGGTTATGCTGGATTAATCCATACCCCAAAATAGAAGAAATTCCGATCAATCAAATTAAAGAAAAACCTTTAATTCTCACACCGTTGATTGATGCGGGAAAAATCAAAGAAGCCAGACGAGTTTCCAGAGTGTTACCATTAGAAGGAGATCATGGTATTAAAAGCTACTCAGGTTATTTTACAGTGAACAAGAATTTCAACTCAAATCTCTTCTTTTGGTACTTTCCATCACTAGTATGTATCCAATATTTTTTTTATTTAATTATAGTATAAATTATTTTATATTTTCTTAAAATTATATTCTTGTTATTGATGTTTCCATGAACACAATAAATTTGTTTTGTTGTTGTTTATATTTTTTTCTTTTCATTGTAATAAAATAATTGTAGAATAACCAACAAAATGATCCTGTCGTCTTGTGGTTGCAAGGAGGACCTGGGTCAACATCTTTGTTTGGTTTATTTTCTGAACATGGACCATTTTCAGTGAGCACAGAAAATATTTTGACACCAAGAAAATATACATGGGTCAAAAATCACAATATGATATACATTGACAATCCAGTAGGAACTGGTGAGTCATTTTACTTCCCTACTAAATACTTGTATTGAGATATCAAATATGACACCTGCTGAGATATAATAATTGATTTGTCTGTTATTATAATTTTTTTAGGGTACAGCTTCACAAATGGAGGATATGCACGTAATGAAACAGCTGTGGGGAAGGATTTGTATGAAGCCCTTCTGCAATTTTTCAAGTTATTTCCAGAACTTCAGAAGAATTCTTTTTATGTGACTGGCGAATCATATGCAGGTAAATGTTTTCAAAGCATTTCTGTTATGTAATAAAAATGATTCTGTTGCTAAAAAATAAAAATAAAAAACAATAAATTGTAAAGTAAATAATTGTGAATGTAAAAAATTATATTTTGTTTCTAGGAAAATATGTACCAGCTGTTTCTTATACAATTCATACAAACAATAAAATAGCATCACAGAAAATAAATTTTCAAGGTTAGTATTAACGGTACATTATTACCTTAGTAAAAACTGAAGAAAGCTCAAACATTAAATCCAGAAGTTTTGAATAGACTACTAGTTTGTAAGAATAATACTGAAATAAGATTTGTATGAACTATCCTTGCTCACTACTTGAACTATATTTACTACTGAATTGTGCTCATATTTGCTCCATATTTGCAGGTATGGCCATTGGAAATGGTTTGTCTGATCCAGTTCATATGTTAAAGTATGGAGATTATCTTTATCAGTTGGGCCTTATTGACAATAACACTAAAGATTTATTTCACCAACAAGAAGATCTGGGCCGGAAATATATTCAAGAGAAGCGGTGGGATGATGCATTTAATGTAAGAGACTATTGGCTATTATTTAAAGAAATTAATTATAATTATTGGAATGTACTGTTCGTTCAGTAAATTCAAAGGTAAAACTTTTAATAAACCATATCACTATTAATTGATATACCATGAAAATACTCATTAAACAATGAGATTATCATATTTAAAAATTGATTTTCTTGTGGAATACGTTAACTGGGTCCATTTTAAAAAGTATCACTTTACATCCAGTATATTGCATTTGATGCAATTTTTTAAAACTTTTACTTATCGATATGAATAGTAATCTCTTAATATTCTCTAATGACATATTTGTTTTATTTTAGGTATTTGACAGGTTGCTGAATGGTGATATGTATCAGTATGGATCTCTCTTTTACAATGCAACTGGCTTCACATTCTATTTTAATTATTTGCATTCAAAAGAACTTACTGTTGGAGGAGATATGGGCAAATACATACAACAGCCTCAAGTTCGACATGCTATTCATGTTGGGAATGCCGTCTTTCATACCGATAATATCGTGGAAATGAATTTGAAATCTGATGTTATGCAATCAGTAAAGCCATGGGTTGAGGAGATTTTGGAACATTATCGTGTTCTTATATACAATGGCCAGTTGGATATTATTGTAGCTTATCCTCTCACTGTATCATATTTGGAAACTTTACAGTGGAGCAGTGCCAAAGAATACAAAAAGGCATCAAGATATCTGTGGTATGTTGAAAATGACATTGCAGGTTATGTGAAGACAGCTGGTAACCTCACTGAAATGTTGGTTCGTAATGCTGGTCACATGGTGCCATCAGATCAGCCTAAATGGGCATTAGATCTTATTACTAGATTCACTGCAAATAAGCCATTTCATTAATAAATTATTTTCAAATGCAAAAATGTACCATCTGCATTGTCCATGACAACTCGTACTGTTATACTCAAGACATGCTCAAGTCTCATAGGGAACAATTGATACTTTTTTTATGAATAAAATGGAATGATAACATAATTTAGTACAGAAAGTAATTAAAATCAAGGTGATATTAAATATTTTGTAACAGTTTTAAAAGTGACTCAAACAAGCACTCCAGTAGAATCCGTCCTTCAAACTTGTTTTTGGGATCTACAAGGAAGGTGTTAACATTTCTGTACGTGTTGACAATTTTAATACATTTTGAATTTTGGAAAATGAGTTTTATTTGCACCAGTTATTCCTATTGGCAACCTTCAATTAAGGTGGTTAGTACGAGATAAGTGTTATGTTTAACATGCCTTTTTTACTGTATTAATCAAAAGATGAGAAGGTTTACTATGTTCTGGTAAAATTTGAAACAATTTCACTATCTAGTTTTGGACTGTAAAGTTTGTCATTTTTACATGAGTGCTAATGGTGACTCAATGGAGCTGACAAAAAATTTTAAAATTGTTGGAAAACTAACTGTTGAAAATGTTTTTAAAAACTCATCCTTAGGTAGCTGGCATCTCGAAGAATATCAATATCCCCAATTTGAAGGACTTCTAGCGTTTCAAATAGGAGGATTTTGTACAATTGTAAACCTAAATCTCTAAGGGAGCACACTTTCTAGAGGGACGGGGCAGTTATGCCCGAGTCGACAACACTGTGTGCGTAGAGCGCTTGATTCAAATCGAGTGACAAGTCTCCCTCAAGAGTTCTTACATACCTCTCGGTCTTCTAGACACAATTAGATAATCACTACAGGAAAATATTGCCTTTGATATTAGTCAGATACTCAGCAAAGCTTAAATTTGATGGATATAAGGATTTATGCGATCTGAATGGAAAAAGTCAATTAAATTAAAAATCAAAATGTAATTTCAAATGAACTTTTTCCCATAGCACATCACACACAGATTTTAACTGTTTTTGGCATAAATAAATAAAATTAATCACTTTGATCAAGAACCTTCCTGGTAGGTAAACCTTCCTGGTCTACTAGGGAACAAGAACAGGTGACGGGCGCAGCAACCTGCAGTTGGTGGTGGTGGTGGTGGTGGTGATTATCCCTGTTGGATTATCAAAACATAATAAAATAGGGAAATATCAGGGAAAAAGAGCAAAATTTCTACAAAGGTTTGGTATAAGGATAAGGAGTAGGAGTTAATGATTACGATTTCTGTTAACTGACAAGATGAAGCTACATACAGTGTTGGAGAGAACCAAACTACTGGTCTTTTTATTAAGCAATTTAATAATTAAGGTTTATCCTATCACTGGTTTAGGTAATTAAAGAAAAATATTAGAGAGAAACAAGCAGTGCAAATCTGAAAACTTTTTATTACAACACTGTGACATTGGGAGGAATTATTTATTGTAATGGCCAGAAGCAATGAAGGGATCCATTCCAGCATTTGCTCGAAGTGTCCTGGAAACTGGACAAAACCAGGACCGGAATGGCTATTACAGATCAATTAGTATGAAATAGTAACAATGACAATATGACACAGTAACAATAACAATATGAAATAGTAACAATATGACAGCATGAAAAAACACACACATCTTTTTACATTAACATCAGAATTTCCAATAATTGGACTCACAACCAACTGCTCTGTTGAAAGTTTATCTTCCAAGTATCTAACAATATTGTTCAAAGCACGTGTGTTTCTTGTACATGCGTGTTTCTTTCACATAGTTTGTCATAAACTTGAACACCAAGGCAAACCGCAACACCCTCCTATCCATTCCACTTGTATTCATTAACAAGTTCAATTGTAATACCATGGCCAGCCTTCTTGCCCAATATATATTTGGAGTGCCCCATCCATACTGCTCGTGCACAATAATTGCCCTTAATGCTCTTCCCTGTGCTTATTATTGATTTGTTTTCTGAAGAATGTTTGAACTGCATTATTTTGAAAGGATACATCCTCCACCTGGAAATGATGGAGTAATCCCTCCAGAATAATGCAATAGGGGTCTTTTCAGGACAGGTGAGATACATCCTGGCAAGCAAATCCTGTTTTTTTGTCACCTTCACGTATCAAAGGGACAGTGTCACAAAAGCCATACACGTTCAAGCACAATTCATGCACAACATTGTGACTGCACTTATTCAGACCCTTTACAATAAGGCGTGCTTCAAATTTTATGATATTATGACCCAGAAGCATGGTTCGAGAACCCAAGCTCTCAAGAGCAGAAAACCAAGAAAGGCTTGAGCGACATCTTCAGAGCCTTTCAGAATGCTGGTACAGCTTACTGTTGCAGTAACAGCAATAGCCCGAGGATCAATGGGTTGCCAATGTACATATTAAATTTTTGTCTCCACTATTTGCAGCAATTTGGATTATTTCTGCTTTCGATCTAAAACCAGTGGTTTTTGTGTCTACCACAACAAACCTGCAAATTTCATCCAAGGATTTATCAGGAGACCAATCTCTATTTGTTGCAACAGCAACTGTTCATTGTGGATGCCATATTGGATACATAGGTGTACCCTTCCTTCTTTTGTAACCCTGCTACCTTGCAAGACTTCTGATGTTTCAGAAAAAGATGTCTATCTTTGAATTTTCTTGAATTCTGAACTTTTGTGTTCTTCTTACGCAGTTCCTACTGCCTTTGTCTATATTTTCATGTGTCTCCTCCAGGAGACAGTCCTGCTGCCTTGCAAGACAGTCAATGTGGACAACGTAGCTTGATCCCAGATTTTTGGTCTTAACAGCACAACTCACACAGACATGATGGCCATAAGAATTGGCATAATGGATTCTTTGCTGCACACATGCTTTGCATTCATTTTGTTGAGAAGATGCACCAGGTGCTACGTGAGCTGCCTTCGCAACCTGTGAAGCTAGAAGAACATCTAACTCAGTTTGCCATGCTACACACCCACTGGAAAGATTTGCCTCCTGAGCCTTGAAAATATAGTTCGAATTACTATTCGTTTTGCATCACTCACTGCATATACCATGCTCTCTGAAAGCGTGAGCTGATATGTCTTCAGATTTTGAACATTGTTCTTATTTCGGGCTATAGCATATAGACCTTTTCAAATTTTTGATTACACCCTGGTTGAGGAACGTATACTTCTTGGCAGATAAATACAACTTGTTACTGAAATTTTTGGTGTGGTGGTTGGTATCAACCCACTTTTCCACGACATGTGGAGTTTCCTACTGCACTGCAGCAATGGTTGAAAATTCTTCATCTACCAAAACTCCAAATCCAATGCCAGCATCTTTAAAAACAGGACTTTTTGCAATTAAATTCACTGCTCAGTTGGGCTTCATGGCCTTCGAACTTCCATTCCAGTTCTTCCTGCAGAAGTGGTCACTTGGTGGGTACACAGGGCACATCGTGTGCTTTCTGTGTCAAAGGCAATAATTTTATTTGTTTGATACCGAATGGCTGGGTCTTGTCCTGAAACACATAAGATGCAAAATCAATTAATATTACATCATAACAAAATTTTTGACCATTTTACAAATTAACCAAGTTACTTTAATAATATGTTTCATGTAAGAAATATTACCATTGGAACTGTCATGGCAATGACCATTCCCACGTTTGCACCATCCAAAATCATACTTGCAATAATCTCAACATCTGAAGCATTGGTGTTGCGAAGCATTGGGAAAACATTTAATATTTCATACCCCAAAGACAGCGAGTTCCTTCTCTTGCTGTAAAGCATTCTTGCAGGATTCTTCTGTAACTGCTACTACAGCAGGAGCCACACTGACTCTGCACACTTCATTTTTGAACATGTTATTGAATATTCATAGCTGAGAGACAGCAATTGAACTGTTCGTGAGCAATTCCTGAGTCTAAGCAACCTGTGACATCGATTATTCAATACTAATGCAGGACAAACAGTATGATACATTTCTAAAGATGCATTAGCTGTATTCTTACCTAAAACTGCTTTGCAATTAATAGAATACATAGAATAAAATGCTCCCAAACTAGTATGCAGCTAAGAGGAGCTCATTACTTCCTTCACTTTACAACAAGTCTTGCACCGAATGCAAAAAACTGAAGCCAAATAATGTTGAACTTCTTTTTCCATAAAGCGAAAACTTAGAGGAACGTCACAAGTATTACACCACATGGTTTCAGCAAGCAACTGAATAACAACTACACCACGCCCCATGGTAGGTGCTCTGCTTCATTCTTCTTTGAATGCTTCTCCATCAGATACCTTTCCTGAAGAAACGTAGAACACTTTTTGTCTTCTCTCAAATTTCGCTTTCGAAGCAAATCTTCCACCAATGTGCTCATACATAGTTTGCCATGTGTCGACTAGGCAAATTCCCTTCCAAAACAAAACTGCCAATTCACCTAGATATAGTTTACTGTGTGTCGATTAGGCAACGAACAGTATTCAAAGTGGCTCAAAACAACAAAATTTTAACAAGAATGAACATTGAGAAGGCATGCCAATCTCAAGGACATTACATTATTGCCCAATTTACCAAAGACTTTTCGTCCTACTGAGATGAGGAAATATTTGCCATTATTAGAGAGCTCTGTATAAAGATATGTGGATACACATCTTTAATTTACTTGGTTACTTTAATGTTATATGATATTGCAATATTTTTATTTTCCATCTATAAAACAAAATTCATTCGTATAATTAAATAAAACTCTTAACAAGAGTCCACTTGTCATGTAAATATTTTTAAATGTAATATGGACTCTACTAGGGAATATCTTGCTCTAACCATCTTAAAGATAGTTTTGAAAATCATTCAGAGTAATTAAATTGATTAAAGCGAACTAGAAACTACATTTAATTATTTCCTTTTTTTTTATTGATGAAATGTTAAGGTAACATTTACTTTGGTTCTGAACATTCAGAAAGAAATCTGCACATGTTCTGAAAATTACATGTGACATTTATTCAAATCCATGGAATTCAGGTATTATAACCTCTCACAATTAGTACAAGATGAAATTGAAACAAATTTAAAAATTAAATTATTTTTATGTACTTCAATTTATATACAATCATTTCCATTTGCAATTTACATATCAAAGCTAATTCAATAAAATTAGGATTGACGTAGAAAAATGTTAAGAGACAAAAGTTGGCAAATAAACAAGTAAATAAAAAGCATTTCATTGTTTTGCAAAGTATTTTGTACAAGTTCAGGATATAATGTACAAAACAAACACATAATGAAGCAACTTTCATACATTTCATTTACAAGCCAAGAAATTTTCCCTGACCATCTTTAAATAAATCACTAGCACTAACCTATAATTTAGTGTACAATCTCATATGCTGAATCATTCTGGAACAACAGATTTCTAATCTAGTATGTCACATTCAGAGACAATGTAAGTACAATTATATACAAATGATGCAATGCACAAGTGTATGAAAGTGTTGATGAGACACCACAATAAACAAGGATTTGTCCTCTGTATAATGTAGCAATAGCACAATTTAATATTTTAAATAAACAAATAATGAGAAACACTTGAGAGTGGTCTCCAACATTAAGTAAATCTTAAATAAAGAAAATATGAACATAAAACTTCAAAAAACATAACAAACAGGAACTTTGAGTAACAAAGAACATTCTAGAATTCTGTACATGAATGCAGATACCCACACCGTATAGAAATCCATTCTTTAATCCAACATCCATACCCTGCATTTTCCCATTTTCCTTGAAACACAGCCATAATTAGTTGCTACACAGGCATATCAAGTGTGTAGAAGAGAAGCAACACCCTCTAGGCCGAACTGTATTGCAAAACATGCAGGCAAGGTCTGAAATTAATCTTGCAATCTTGTTTTAAGTCTGGAAATATTATCAAATGCTTCTGAAAGCAAATGTCTGGAATTTGTTAACCGCCTTTGGACTATTATCTAATGCTTTGCATAAATAATAATTGAAGAAAATACTGCAGCACAGCGTTTTCAAAATGAATATTGCTCACTACCACTAACACACTATTGTACATTGTAAGTTTCTTAAAAATAACGATTTGTCACATCACAACGAAATCAAATCTATCAAGTTTCCTTTTGGCTGAGTCATAGATTCAGGGAAGAAGGTGATGAGCTGGTCATAAAGTTGTGATCGTCTGTGATGGCAGTCCACATCAAATTCATCTACACTCGAGTCCGTTCTTGCAGATGGCTCACGATCTTGATCACAGAAAAGAACAGAAGTCAGTAACTGAAACTGAAAACAAACAAAGTTAAATAACTCTCTGTTCAAAGCAAGAGTAATCTATTCATAAATAAATTTATACAAACTAACATTTCATTTCGGAAGAACTATTTATGTCTTCAATATATTTCAAATATTCCTACACATTTTTTTCTTGTTACTTCCTAAGAGTAAACAAATTTGCGAACAACACCTATTACTAAAAGCCTATCGAATTTTTCCCTCTAACCAGCAACAACTTTGCACTGAAACGCAGTAAGGATTATTTTTCAAAAATTATTCAAAAGAATATTCCATTATTATTTTAAGGGTTTTTTATAATTAATTTTTAAGGAATTGCATATATTGCTCCTATATATATATATATCTTTGAGGCCCTTCATTTATATTTTCCTCAATAACTGTAATACAATTTCATCCATATTTCCTCTCAATAATTTTTTTAGAAATCAATTCCTCTCTGTGACAGAAGAATTGATGGGGAAAATTATAATAAATCGAATTTTGAGGTAGAAAATATCTGCAGTTCTGATAATGAAAATTCAGAAAAAAGTAACTTCAAAAATCACCCCTCAATCACAGATATGCAAGGTTTTTAATTAGTAGGGAATGGAATTGTAATAAAAACAGAAAATATGCACATACAGTTATTGTATTTATTTTTTCCAAAATAAGGAAGAAAAAGATAAAAATATGTAAAATAAAAATTCATGATTAATGTTTAAAATTTCCTCCAAACAAGCATTTTCAAAAGGGGGAACACAAAATGTCACCGATCAGCCTTAAACAGATTCAGAGCAAAATAATGAACGCTGTACCTCTCCTGAAGTAATTGGGGACTCTTCACCAAACAAAATGTGTTGTTTTTTTTATACGAAATATAAAATATGTATGTAGAATGTACAATAACGTTTACCGCAAGCACATGAACAGATTAGCCAATGATGGATCCAAGATTAAGTGAACCATCCCCTCCCCTAATATCTAACATAATTTTGTTGCCTTTGCAGCTATGTTGAAAGGAAGGACCTAGGGTTCAAAAGCTGAAGCATGCGGCACATTTTTGACATTAACAGATTTCTGGGTCTAATTCACCCACTGTGTGACCAAGAATCCTAGTGGAGAGTGAGCGGCAATGATCGATAGTTTATAGCCGTTTCTCCTATCAATATCATCTGACCTTACAGCTCGTCCTGAATGAGGTTCTCTGGTGAGAGAGATTCTTGAACAGGGAATAAACCGCAAGCTGAGGTGCAGGTCAATAGAGGAGGTACAGCACCATCTTTGGGTTATAATATGCCACACACTTAAAGAGAGGGATAGCTAGGTATTCAGCGCCCATGGCCAACAGAATTTGTGCCCTTCCACAATTCATCAAAATATGGTGGTTGTAATTTCTTTTAGTGGGTATACCCTAGTGTAAATAAGATACTAATTATTTTTTAAAAGTTTAATAAAAATTTTATTTCCAAAAAAATTGTTTTTAATTTTTTGTTTTAGGAATTGAGTTAATAAAGAGGAAATAACAATTCATGTTTATTAACATTTATTGACATTTGTTGTAAAAGAGTTATCATTTTAGAAAATGTAAAAGAGTTAATATTTTAAAAAAATATTATCTACTTACTGAACATTTACAAAAATAAATGTATAAAAATTTTAAATAAACGTATACAATCACAACTGAACCATTATCTTAGCATCGCATATGCTATCCAAGGTCAAAATTAATTTTAAAAAAATTGGTATTTTTTTTTGAGAATCTTTAAAATGTCCCAAAGGCTGAGACACCAGCCAGATCGATTGGGGAATATCAATTTAGGGGAAAAACAGTTTAGCCACTAGCGTTGTTCATATTCGTTCTTCATAGCGTCAGTCAACAACGTTTTGCTGTCAATCTATTTTTCAGTACCAAGGACCCACAAAACAAGGATTCTGGCTACACCATGTGTTAGATGATTTTTTTTCTACATTTAGCTACTGGATTTATCTACTTTTTCATTACCAGAAGTGATTTTCTGCTGATAAATTGTCTGCAAACTTTTCATTGAAAGATTTGAAACAGTTTTTGAGAAAATTTCTAAAAATGAGTTAAATGTGGATAAATCTTGTTCATATGTGTAGTAAATTACTTGCTCTAGTGTCATGATGAGATCAGAAACTTCATAAAAGGGAAGATGCTCTGGAAATCGAACCCCGTGGTGTCCACTGAAGCCACTTTCTCAATTGCTGAAGGGGTTAGAGTCAAACCTGAGTTGGTAATAAAAAGCCGGGAAGGGGTCGATGAGACTGTTCGCCATGAGGATGGGCCTAGCCTTCGGAAAGCAGGGGAGGGAAAGGTGGTAAAATACAAACCAGTCGTACCCCTGGCAGTCCAACTTCATGGGGTACCCAACACCAGAATCCTACCAGTGGTGGTTGGAAACTCTGGGGCTCATTATTCTCACATAGTCAGTGCCCTCAAGACTCTGGGGATCACGTCTCGAGGTGATCTACTGACTACCTTGTTAATTGCTCTCAGAAGCTCTATTAAACTTTACACACAATTTGTAAGTTACGATGGAGCAATTTAGCATTACTGCTAGTAAATGCAGGAAAGAAACTTCAATGTCCTATGGGGAAGTCTAGGGAAACCATTGTATCCTAAAATGCATAGGAATTACTCAGTTACCATGATTTTAAGTGGGAAGTGTATGCTATTTAATGTAGCATATAAAAAATTGTGTAGTTACAATCCTTGTTTTGCCATCAATAAATCCTGTCAGCCCATCCATGAACATGAGAAACTATCATGGCAATTTTCTCCAAAATTGTTATTCCCCAATCTATTAAAATATCCTTCTAATATTGAAATAGATACTTTCATTTTGGGGGGTATTTTACACAAAACATCGAAATTTTGGAATTAAAGTTTGTCCTCGGCTAGCACAAAGACTGCTTAAGATAATCATGCATGTCCCGTTAAAATCACTGATTTTTCAAAAATTGCAAAAGATCAATTTCTTTGGTATCTTCCTACAACTACAATATTTATGATGGAGATTTATTTTCTGAATGGAATCTGTTCTATACACTCAGATCTTGAAATAAGATCATGTACAATATTTCAAGAACACTAGTAGTTTTCATGTAATTTTGTGTGAAATAAAGTAATTTTTAATTTATTATTTTTCAAAACTGACCATTTTTTCTTTACACTTCCTCTCTGATTGAAAAATTAGAGAGGAAATTGAAAAAAGTTAACACTTTAAAACTAAAGATAGGGATTTTTTACTTCAACAAAATCTTTTCAAAAAACACCTCTTTTAAAACTGTCATGTTCAATTTTTTAGAAAAAACAAGTAATTTGCGCATAATGTGTGCCCAAAATTCAGGCAATTTATAAAAGAGGCACTTTTTCAAAAACGCTTCAATTTTTTTTTAATGGATTCATTCAACCATGCTGCTTCTATATATTAAACAAAAAATTCTTTAAAGAATGGCATAGGTCTCATCTCATTTTTGTTTAAATCTCTCAATTTTCGAAAATTTCAAATTTAGAAATATGAAAAAGTAATATACAATGTTATAGCACTAGTTAAAATTGCCTTTATTTCATGCAAAATTATGCAAAAACAACTCATATTTTGAAAAAATTTGTAATGTTTTCATTTGAAGATCTAATTTTTGAGAACAGATTTGATTCAAAATAAACGTTTCTTTTACATAAAAACGTAGTCGTAGGTAGACTCAGGAAAAATTTTTAATTTTACAATTTTCAAAAACCAGAGAATTTGGGATCAGAGGATTCGCGCCATTTTTATAAGCATTCTTTGCTTTATTTGATATCAAAATAAATACAAAAACTTTGGAGCTATTTTTGAAGAAAATTTGATGTCCTTGGGCTTTACGTAAAGTACCCCAAAAAGCTAAAATATTCCGAAAGTTCTGAGACGTTCCAACAAAACATCAACCAATTTTTGAGTTCCTCGGGTATCTTTTGCTAACAGCATCCGATTGTCAGCAATTGTTAACCCAAACACACTCCTTTCCAATAGCATGAATCCGTACTCGTTTTCCAATTTTCTCAAGCCGGTATTCCATAACAAGATTAAAAAGGTGTGGGGGCAAAGAGTCCTCCTGTTTAACTTTTCTATGAAATGGCATCTCAATGTCTTTCAAAGGGTACTGAATGAAAGTGGAAATGTCAGGGTAAGAGTCCACTAATAAATCGGTAAAGACATCCCACAGCCCACTTAATCACGGCAGGATGAATAGTGTTGAATGCTTTGGATATATCTAACACAGTACTTCATTACCCCCTGTTTTCTTCAAGTCATAGACTGCTTCGTGAGGAATTTGAACATTAGCAAAACAGCCAAGTTCAGGAATAAACCCTTTCTGGCGTGGATCGAAGTTCACCCTGAATTGAATAAGTTTGTCCATAATGTTCCAGAAGATTTTGCACAGCAGAGAACTAATCGTATTAGGACAACAGATTCTTATTATCCTTACCCTCTTTTGGGATAAGGATGGTGCAATTAGCTTTCCATCCTGAGCACTAAGCCAAAGTATAGGAATTGGGTGTACAATAGGGCCAAATTTCAATTTTTGCTTCTGAAGATATGTGACAAACTTTTATCTTATCTGGTTGTGGAGCCAAGGCATTTTTCATCCCAGTTAGATGATTTAATTTCGGAGAGTTGCACTGCATATAGAATTGTGCTCTTAACTATTGTCTTAATCCAATTCGAGTGTCGAGAGTTTATCCCCCTCTTAATTCATAAAGCCAAAACAGGGGTATGTTACCCCAAATCAATTTGAACAGGTCATTACCCTCATCACTGTTAAACGGCTGTTGATCTACACTAGTATAGTCTATGCCCATCCTAAAACGCTTTGCCAAAAGCGCTAGATCGTTCTAGAAAAGGTCCTGCGCCTTGTGAGTGGTGCTTCCTAGCATGTTTGCCTCCATGTCTATGGAGCCTTTTAGGACTGGTGGTGATGGTGGTTACAGAGGAGCCGTCCAAAATCTTCACAAACTTGACATTCGTCTCTTCCAATTGGTCCTGGGATTGAATTTTTTTTCTGAGTTCCCACGTCAATGAGCTCTTGATCTACATTAGTTTTAGAATTAATTCAGGATCCTATTGTTGAAATGTATTCCTTCCAATTAGGATTGGCATCTAGTGTGGGCTCGTTAAACAAGTTTCAGCAATTACGTCTCTGGACGTTGTAGCAGCTGAGGACTCAATAAAAGTTTGGTCCAATCCTAATTGACCAGTGGTGTCAGAATGTGCTGTGATAATACAATAACAGATGAAACACAATCAAAGTGAGTGGGGTCTGCCGAAAGCTCCTAATTCATCTCAAACTATAGCGGTTTCCTCGTTAGGGGATCACACCCTATCTGCTTTCAGTGAGGCAATGTCTATCATTCCAAGATCCTCAATCCTGCGTGTCAGCGGAGTTTTTGCAAGGGAATCAGGACAAGATTGTTCTCTTCCAGCAAAGATGACCCTCACCTTTTGGGTAGAAAGTTTGTCAGAAATCAGGGGGGCACCGCCTTTCTTCCTGTCTTAAGGTTAGGCCTTCAATACAGGAGAGATGATGTGTGATTTGCTGGAGTCTTCAGAGCTAACTTCTTTCTCACCCCCCTGTTGGGCATTCTTACCTAGCAGAGCAGCCAAATTCTCATTTGACACCTCTCATAGCCTCCCTCCAATACAGTCATTTTCATAGAACCTTCTGAAGTTAAGTCATTCCTCTGCTCTAGGCACAGCAGTCCCGCCACTACACTTCGCCTTGGTGGCCTGTGCTTTATTAGCAGGGTCCAGATGAACATGTAAATGTTGTGAGAGCTCTGATTTGGTTGCGAATTTGGTGGAGCATAATTCACTTATAAAGTCTACTTTAGATGCTTTTAGACCTGGGCACTTCAGGAATTGATTCAAAACAGATACCTTTTCTTTTTTATTCTTGCTGCCTTTGGAGCATAAAAAGATTAGGGCGACATCATTATGGATAATATAATGATGCCGAACTATATTATCCAAATCTGTAGCAATATAGCCACTACCCCTTTCTGGGCACAATGTGCGCAGTGCCTCGCCTCTAAGGGAAACCTTATCACGAACCGATATAAGGTAGAGTAATCATACATATGGTGGCCTCTTGTTCTCAGGGCACACTACTATACGCTCCAGGGTTCAAGGCTTTGTCCATAGTGTCTGCTACCAGTTGCTTCTATGACCACAACGGGATCGTGAGCTGCAGACCCACAATCCCCCTTCCCTGTGACATGGGGCCCCCCAAGATGTTTTTTCTCTCCGGGATTTCTTTCCCTAAGCTAGATGCAGTTAGAGGAAGTACTTTACTACAAATAGAAACGAGAACTACCCAGTTTATCCTTACCCGGCATCCCAGTGTCAAAAACTCCCCAATTACCGCTGCAATATTACAATACTTTCTCTTCATTGCATAAATGTAATATGGTGACAGTAAAAATAATTATAAAATGGAAATCTCCCACATTCCACAAAGTAAACCATAAAAATAAGGTTATACCACAAAAATAAAAAAAACACAATAATAAAATAATATATTGAAATAGTTCAAATGATAGAAAAGTTTGTCAAAGATATTAATTAATAAAAATTATGTATCATAGAAATGATCAAGATTGCGAAAACCTTTTAAGAAAAATATTTGCTAGATGTCAAGTCTTTATAATCTATTTCATGAAATGATTATTTCTTATACAAGAACAATAGAATTATCTTAAAATCTTACCTCCTTTGTTTGTTCAGGATCATCATGATCAATTATCTCTGACAGACTTGTTTGGAGATAATGTAATGCTGCCATTCTATTTTTGAGAGCTATTTCCTCAAACCTATAACAGACAAACATTTTAAGGAGAAGAAGCAAAAATCAAAATTTTGGAAATTTTAACTTTTTCAAATATTTGGAGTTTTCTGAATGAAATGATATATACACTGACAATATAAAGATTCTGGATGCTACTAATAATTCCGAAGAAAATAGATTGAGAGAGTAATAATACATGTATATTGGTAATTGACTATTATATTATCCGTATATCTTATGCCAAAAATATACATATATTTTAAATAAACACTTTTTTCAACTTAAAAAAATAAATTTGTCTTTTCATAAAAAAAGGCACCCTTTGTCTGGATAACTTACTTGATGACATCCTATTCATGAGTTTTTCACAAACAATAATAGCTTCAATGAATTATTATTTTAACAAAACCTGTTGTTTGAGGTATTTTTCAATTCTGAACCACTATGAACCAGAAACCAAAGTCTGAACTCCATAGCACACAACAGTAAACTGTGGCTTTCCCAGCCACCTAACACTTTGCATCAATGATAACTCTTGAGTGAGGATTTAAGGATCCCTAAATTATGTTTATCTACACAAGATAGATTGAGACAAAACCCTACTTCAGTATCTAGGATTTTGGCCAAATTTTGGATTATCGAGGCCAAATCCAGCATGCTGAGAGAAAAACTTTAATAAGTGTCCAAAAACTTTTCATCAGCGGTCTACATCATTGTAAATTGATGTATTCTTAACATATTTTATGTTAAATTCTTCCTTCATTTGCATATGTCAAAATCAGTCACTAAGGTTACATGTGTCTGACTTACAATTTTTGAACTAATTCATCTCGAAAGCTCTGCTTTTTACTAAACAATAGAGAAAAGTTCATTCTATAATGCTGTTTGCACTGCAAAACCTTATCTTCTATGACTATTTCTGCAACAAACCTTCAATTGTGTGAAATGTGAAAACGAGTAGATAAATGGTCATTGTTTCTTGTTGTTAACAATTGTTGTAACGCCACACAGATAACAAAAGGTGATAATTACAGCTACTCTCCATTTGTGGTAATAAAAACTACTCCTTTTATATATTTGTAGAATAATACAATACCATAGTGTTTGATAATTATTACTATATTTTTTTTGATCTATTTGTTTTTCAACATGACCAGCATCATATTATTTACCAACTTTTAATTATTTTACTTTTTCAAATTCTATTTTTTTTTACACCAATTGTTCTATGATTTCAAATGAGCTTTCCAAAAAATCATTTGGAGATAAATTGTGGAATAAATAGTATTACATAACTATTACTAATGGCAAGAAAGTATGTGCTGTTTAGCACCACTACTTACCTGTGTTTTCTAATAAGCAGTTTGCATCTTTGTAGTAATTGCAAATGTGTAGGACGACATAATTGGAGCTGCCAGAAATCATCAAGGCGAAGTTTTGGAAGACAGGCACGACCAGGATTGCCACCAAACAAATAATGAACCTATAATGAGAGCAAAATGCATTAAGTGAAGTCCTTCCTTCAAAATGGAATTCCAAGCACTACATGATATTCTTTCAAGAAATTAATTCCATTAAATAACAACAGCATGACTTACTTTATTTACAGGGTCATAAACTAATTGGTGAGCAAATCGTGGACAGGGTTCCAAATGTTGCATTTTATTCCAATATTGTTCACCTGTATTTTCATTCCGATATATACACGACCTGAAATCAACACAAATTATTTGACAGATGATACTGAAGCAACAATATTATTATTATTATTTTTTTTTTCTTTTTTTTCTTTTTAACGTACGTACCATTTGTTTTGTTTAATATAATACACCCAAAATGAATTTTGTACATTGTCATCTCTTTTTTCTTTGTCTTTACTTAGGCCCTGCAACAAAATAATTTATAAAAAAATTAAAATCACCCTTAGCTCTAGGCCATTCAGGAATGTTTTAATCATGCAATCTTGGAGTATCTCTTGAGCGTGCTGTATTTTAATTATTTAGGTTCCACCTTTGCTGGTTCAAGCAACAAATGAAATGCCAAATGAAAAGCCAAGTAGAGGGGTGAAGCATAACAAATGCAACACAATACTTACAGATAACACATATATTTCATTTAAATCTGGATCAATGGTTGCCCTTTGTGTAAATCCAGCAGCTGGAATGTTACATGCTTCCCTTCTAGCTCCTTCAGATATCTGTTGAATTTCATGAGTATCCACAGTATACGTGAAGAAGTCATTAAGGTAGTCTTTACTTCTCTGACCAGCAAAGATGAACAATTTTCTGCAACCCTGAAAAAATGCAACTTAATTTACCAGCTTACAGCTTATGATGAGCTGAAAGTATAAAAAGATATCTAAACAAGCTCAAAATATGTCCAAAAAAGAAGACAAAGCGAGCTTTCATGGAATTTTCCTTCCCTGACACTCACAAAGTTGATACTAGTCGTACGTGTGCAACTGCGCGACGCTTTGGCGTTTGCGTTAACTCCATCATCACATTCCCCTACTTATCAGCTCCGGGGACTTTCCTTATTGCAGGACCAAGGGAAAAAGGGTGCGCCCGAAAAGAGGGTGGCGACAGAGTGTAAGGGCGCCTTCCCACGTCGCCACGTCGACACGGCGGCGCGCGTCCGTCAAGCGGCGGGGCTCTTCCGACGCCGCCACCGCGCCTCGCCCCTTCACCAGCATTTACGACCGCCCATGGTTGATCGCAAACAAAGTGCTTATCAATCTTACGCAATGTTTCTTACGTACAATCGGATTTCACATGAAATTACTCTGGTTGTAGCTCTGATCGAGTACGTGCCGCCCCAATACGGAGTAATATACATAGTACAGAGAGTTGTGTAATACTGCGGAAAATCGATTTCGAGATTTCAGCGGAAATATACATTCTTGGCTCCCCTGATGCAGATTTTTTTTTTCCAAAACGTCCGTCCGTCCGATGAATGTGAACATCACTAGCGCCTAAACTATGCCGTACGATTTTTTCCAAACTGAACAAACCCCTGTTGATCTGGACTGAGTCAAAGCTCTGCGATTTTGAAAAATATTCATGCCAAGGCATTTTCAAAATTTTCCCCAAAATCGCTCCAAACTTTTTCTTTAAATGTCTTGTAACTTACAAAGGCGGCATAGGATTTTTATTGATAACTCTCAATTTTCGAAAATTGCAAGTTTGCTTTTTTAGACTTGTTTCTTCAACTACAAAATGGAAGATAGAGATTTTTCTTTCAAGAACATTTTTTTTCTCCTTAATTAGTTCTTTCTTGAAGGTCAGGTACATTTTTTTAACATTTTGGTAGTTTTTGCACAATACTGTGTGGAATAAATGCAACTTAAAAAACAAGATTTTCTAAATAATTGTTCCAATTTTTTTCTTGAAGCTTTTGATAGTAATAGTGATAAGTGCTCTCTATGAGGTGACATAAACACCATTTTCTCTATTCTTTTCTTTTTAAAAAACTTTACTTTTTTTGACTTGTCTCTCACATTGTAATATTTACATTAGCAGCAAATATTGTGCATTCACATTATTGTACATGGGCTTAAATTCATGTCGTATAAAGTTTCTCGAAAACTCAAAAATTTACCGAGAAAATGAGTTTAAAATTCCACATTTTCAGAAAGGCTAAAACCCCATTTTCTCGAAAACGACTCCAAATTGTTTCTTCAAACCTTTCATATGTATAGTGCTAATTGTACTGTTAAAATGACATAAAATTAATTTTTCTGTATTAATTTGTTTTCTAAAAATACACAAATGTATTTTTTTAAATAAAATTTCTCAAGCCGTTAATACGCACATTTTCAATGGTTTGTATACATTGATCTTTTAAGTGGATGTGCTTCAAATGAAGTTTATTGAAACGTCAAACAATTTCTGTGAAAATGAGCTTTGAATTTCGCATTCACAGTAACGCTTAAACATCAGTGTCATAGAAACGGCTCCAAATTTTTCAATGAAAATGCGCCCCTCATCCCTGTTATTGAGAGACTTGGGTCGTTTATGGCCCCCCCGCCGCCGTCGGTTTGGCGGCGCCGCGCCGCCCTCGCCGAGCACTTAGGACGGGCGGTCTTTCCACCACGCGTGAAGTGAGCCGCCTGCAATCGCACCCACTTGAAGAAAAGGTTTACAAGCTAACGAATTTTGACGCGCACGTGCTACCCCGGGGATCTAGGTCTTAACAACATTCTCGCCGATCGCGAAGAGACTACGCCAACAGCCCTAAACAACGGAAAATGTTCGTCTGTTGCGTGGATCGTCGAGTCATAAGGTCGAAGCTCCGCTAAAATTTGATTTCGGTCAATCAGGAGGCTCTTCGAGATTTCGCTTAGAGGTTCAGTTCCGAAAACAGTAACATTTGACAGACAGTTTCTGGCAATTAGAAATTATTCTCGCTGGCCGTGAGCTGCACGGCAGTCATCAGCTGCAGTTGCACTCAGTTACGTGCCATAGGCCGGTTTAGCCCGCACAACGGTAGAAGGCCGTCCGCGATCGCCCGGTACGGGAATTAGATGAATTCCAATCAATCATCGCCGACGTGAATCGTGGGTGCCTGACGGTCGGGACTTCCATCCCTGGGTCCGGCCTGAGCAAAGGAGATGAGCGCGGCAACGCTGGAGCGCGGCCATGGTCTTGGCTGCAGCTGTCCGGGGCGACCCGCTTCTACCCGTCGGTCAACAACACCATCAGCCGGGTGTGTTCTACTGCCGGAACAACAACAAAAACAACAACGGCAATCACCAGCTTCACTCCCGCTTAAGTGCGGTAGGACAATAATTGAGAGAAGCTGAGAGAAAGATGCCATCAGCATCGGCATTTATGGCGGCCTAACTAGTTTATTTTAGTTTGTATCGAGTCAACCATCAAAATTAAAAGAAAAGTCGCATCTTTCAACTTTGGAATAAATTTCACGTAATATCATGTCATCCATGCCCATCACTTTGAACATTAAATATGTTTGTTTGTTAAATTTAATATTAGTATGATTGAAAACCACATCCCTGCTTCAAATGGCAAGCCGGTAGGGGTACAATAAACACAAACTGAAAAATAAGGCGTTAAACTAACATTATATGCTTTAATTTTTCTTCTACTAGTATTTAAATTAGTCCCCTCATTTATTTTCTCATTTCAATAATTTATAATTAATGGTTCACTAAGCGGTTTTCAAAGATTTAGGGTATCCAAAGTAAAAAAATTCCTGAAAATCAATAGTCTAAAGATCACTCAAACACAAACTAATGAAACTAATAAACTGATGAAACTTACAGGATGGAACAACATTGAATGTCCCACACGTGAACGAATGGTTGGTACCCCTGGACTGCTAGGTCGACTGCAATCGTCACATAGCTTTGTCCATGTATTTGTAGGAACATGATATGAATAAAGTCCTGAAAATATTGGATCAGATGTGCCCACCAAACCAACACAACCTGGTCTATCATCTGCCATTCTGAAACAAACATCATTGTCATACTAGAGTTTAAAAATTAAAAAGATTTTGTAAAGATAAATGAAAAATTCTCTTTCCAACAAAGTAAAGAAAGGAAATCACAAACATATTTCAGGTAAAGTTACATCAATCATCCAAAAGAAACTACCTTCATCGAGAATAAAGGTAGTTCAATCACAATTATTTCTGTAAAGAAGAATAACAAAGGATATTCCCTGCTTCGTACAAACAATTTTCTAGAAACTTCTCAAAAGAAGAGGTTAGTCATACATTACAATTGTATCACCCATGCAGTCAATACCACTGCAAATCCCACCTTTTGACTGGATACTAGTCTCTACAATTCGGTAGCCTGTAGTCGTGTAGAAAAATCATTCAAATCAAATTTAAAAAGAGGATACAACATCCTACAACTTTTGTATACAATAATGAGACTGACTGCCAGAGACTGATAGTGACTGCAGAGCTGAGACCAACTGACAGTGACTGCGAGGCTGACATCACTTAATACCAATGAATAGAGCCCAGAAGATTGGCAAAACGCCTTTTTGTTATTGTTACAATTTCAACACTTAACAATAGGATTCACTTAACAGTGCTTGTGAAATCATTTTAGAACATTTTCATTTTGCCTACTTTACATAGATTAGTTGTGCTTCTTTTTGCCTTTTTCATCAATATTTCCTTTCTTATCTGATCCAACTTATCAGGATCGAGTAGGAAATCAGTCTCCGGGCTAGGACAACACATGATAACTTGTGTTTTGCCTTCCTCTGCAAGTGGAGGGAGGGTATGTGTCATAGAAGAAGAGATGAACGTAGGCTGTAGGATCAAGAAATGTTAAAAGTTGCTATGAGAAATCAAGATGATACCAGTCAGCAACCTGGATTTATTTCACCAACACTGTTAGGGTTCCTTTTGTCACAAGGGTTTCCACCTTACGCTTATAGTCTTCAACCCCTTTCTAGAGCAAAGGGCTCTGGAGGCCCTGCTATGGCTCTGCTCAGAATGAAAACAAAAAGAGTTCTAAGAACAAAAATATCAGTTTTCTTTCACTGATGCCGTTTGAAAATTTGAAAGAGAATATTTCTGTCTACACAATTACTTAATATTGTGTGTGAAAAAAATCGTATTAAACATGCCAAAATTGAAAGCATGCCTTTAAGTAGTAAGATGCATCTTTAGGTGCATGAATTTGACAAAGACTGTTCTTTCCATTGAGGATTCTATTCGGTTTTGCAAATTGTGAGATAAAGCCGACCATGATGAAAAGAAGGACTTCATTTGTCAGCATATGACAAAAACACAAAACCTAAATCTATAATCATCAATTGTGAAGTGTGGAGAAAAGAAACAACTTTTAATTTCAGCAGTAGACACAATATCCAGTAGGCAGTTTCAGTTTTCTCTCGATCTGTGCAAGGCATACATGGACACTGGTATTTATTGTTGAAAATTATACACTTTTTAGAAAAATATATGAAGGAAATGTTACCACCAGAATCTACTTTAAGAAAAACTTTCTGACCATCTGCTTTGAAGAAACTGTAAATATAATTTGTGCAGCAATTGGTGATAAAAACATTTGGATATCCATTGATGAAACTATCAATGCTACACAAGCAATGCCATTCAAATTATGGAACTGATTTACTGTGTGTTCTTAACTTTTCTTCCTACATCTGAAGAATTGGCAAACTTGAATAGTTCATCCAATGATCAATTGTTCATAAAGAAAATTCCTTACTTCTACTGTGGCCTGATGCTGCATCGCATGTTCTACTTTTCTTCACTGATGCTGTTCATGAACATGAAAAAGAACTAGAACACAAAGTACTCTTCTCAAACATGCTTCACGTGATATGTTTAATCCTCAAATTGTTGAAGAGATACAAGCTTTGCATCCTAAAGTATACAAGTTTATTTAGAGTTGACCTGGATTAGCTCTCCCTCCACAGGCAATATTGACTACATAGGAAACCTGGATATTGAAAATTGTGCAAATTATCTTGACAAGATCCACAATGTATTTAAAATTCGGCCAGAAAATATGGTTGTTTCAATACATTAAATGAAGAAGCTTTTAAGTAGTGCAGAACAAAGCAGTGATCTTGCATTTCTTCCTGCACACAATGAAAGTTATCTCAGGTAATAACAAACTTGAAAAAAAAGGGGTAAAACTCTAGTGTCAGCTAGGTGCTAGAAGGAAAAGGTTTAGCTGTGGCACAAAAATACATGTAAGTGTGAATGGAAACAGTGAAGTTTAAACATAGAAAATATGAAGAAATATCCCTTGGTTATGTGCAACCAAGCAACTAGGGAAAACTGGAAACATGGAAAACTAGGAAGACCAATTTTCCATGTTAATATTGATTTACTAAATTTCAGTGTAAAAATTAACTTTTGAATCACTCAAATCATAGCAAAATTATTTTCACTACATACTCTTTTTAATAATAATTTGTCAAATTTTATGTGCTTTTCTACACCCCAATTATAGCCAGAATAAATGTATTTGCCCGCCTATTTTAATAAAAATAAATGCTTGAACATCCAGGCTCTACTAATGAATTAGGCATAACCCAAAAGAAATCCAAACATATATTTCTAATTTTTATTTCTTATAAAAAGTGTTACACGAGTTATTTTAATATTTTCAAGTCCTTATTGAAATTCAAATAAAATAGTGCAATGGAATTGCAAATTTTTCTGCCAGCAATCAAAAATAGAAAAAACAAAAACAAAACAAAACGAAGCAATAAAAGCCCATGGAATCACAGGAAGTAAGGAATGTAAACTAATATTCCAAATGCTGCTTAGCATCCTGGTCTTCTCTACACAAGCAGGACTACCACTCTACCTTAAAGAAGATTGCAAACAATTCCTCAATATCCTACTCTGGATTCCCTGAATTTAGTAAAAACAGTTATAGACCTTAAACTAATGTGAACCTTTTGACACTAAGGAAAAGCAGAGTGGTGTGATCTACAGACTGTGTGATCAAACTAGGCAGACAAAGCAGAGCAGTGTGAGGGACTAGGGAAAGTCAAGATAAAATGTCAAAAATCCAATTTAAATTAAGAAGTTAATGGAAAATGGTTGAAATAGTCAATGTTTGAAATGACACAAGCTCAACATCCTCTAAGTGTCATTGAAACTACTTGTAATAATATACTCCTACACTTACAACAGAGAAACCAATACATTACAGAATAATAAAATCTACAAGTCTTTTGCACAAAGAAAGAAAAAGACGCAAGTGAGAATAAAAAAACCTCACAAATGAAAACCACATTTTATTTAGCTTATGTCATAAATTTACCAGGAGATAGCACAATGGCCATAGTTTCAAGGCCGGAAATCTTAACATGGCTGCTGTCGGGTCTACCAAGCACTCCAGGCACACAAGGATTTGGGTTTTATGGATTTGACAGGAAAACCTTTATCAAAAATTTAAAAGATCTAGAAGTCTATTTAAAATCAGCAGTTACCACAGAAATCTTGTGAAAACCCAAATGGAACTCCTCTATCCATGGAACATAACGATTAAATTAAATGATTGATTACTGCCTTACATGTCCATCTACAAATTGCATGCAAATCTGGGTCCTTTAAGAAGCATATTAAATTTACAAAAGGGAAAAATAAATAAACATAATAATAATTAGTTTTATATACAAACCCAGGAGGTGGAGTTAAAACTCTTCCACCAAATACATAAATAGTTCGCTTCTCTACATCTATACACATCTGATGATCAAAAATCAGCTGAGGTCCCCCCATAGTCCCAGTGTCTTCAGTGATTAATGTCCACCGGTTGTTTTCAATATCATACACATAAAAATCACTCTGTAAATGAAACAGATAGTTAGTATTTTAAACATACCCAAACAAAGTGAACTAAATTATAAGTTAAAATTTCACTTACTTTGAGATTCTCAGGTGTCCTATATTGTGTGTCAAGATACCTCCCAAGAGTAAATATTTGCCTTTGTTCAGGATCCAGGCACACTTTATGACAAGAACGAGCACTAGGACCTCCCTGTAGTAGTAAAAGTTTCATTGTTAAAATATTCATAAACAATTGTCTCTCCCATCACATTGAAACAGAACAATCCTTTCATAATAAACACATGATTAATATTAGAGAGGTGACCAAATTATTAGGCTAGAGTTACTGAAGGAGACAAAAAAGTATTTGCGATCAGAGATCTTGACAACAAAATGTGTGAACAGGATTTTAAGGTTTTAAAAATGTGACTATTGATGATTAACTATGAGAAATGTAGAAACCAATTTTTGACCCATTCCTTCATTTTTAGGGCCACTTTATCAGATGAGACAGAGTTATTCTATGAGCAAGTTTCTTATAGCCTTCCTTTTATTCAGTTTCTTTTACCTTACACCATATTCTATGGGATTCATGCCGAAAACTATTTGCAACCATTGGGAACACATACTGATCAATAATTTTAAGATATTATTCAACTTTCTTTCCTATGGACTGCAGTCTTGCACGAATATGCATGGATTTTTTCCAAACCACTTGTTTATTTCAGGAAGTAATCAGCTCTATAGGACCTTACAGTATTGATAACGCCTCATAGTACCATTAACAATGTATACATTTCTGATGAACCTACCAGTTGAGTTTAGCGTTACAGTCTCTATGCGACTGACCAGGTGATAGAAGACCTGGCACTGGTGGATTTTCGACACTAGCTAGATACCTAGGTTGAATAGCTTGTTTGTATGCCACTATTGGTCCAATTTTCAATTATTGGCCCTTTTGGGCTGTGTTAATTTTGTGGTTTCTGGCTCCTTAGAGCATAGGCTTCTGATAAAAAAAAAAAAATAATAAAAAAAATCAAAGATTTTGATGTCATATAGGGTATTTACAATATTAATTTTACTGAGTCCCATCTCTTCCAAATGTTTTTTAATTATTCCTATTATATTTCTGGATTTTATTTGCTGAATCTACTGCATTTTGTTCAATATAATTGTCTAGATAGCAACATTTTATTACTTATTTTAATTTCTCTCCGTCTATTACTATATCGGCTTGTCTAATTTCATTCTCTTGAAAAGCCATTGTTTTTGTTTTACTTGCAGAGATGATCATGTCATACATTTTTACAATTTTGAAATTTGTTGGCAACAATTTGTAAACTATCTTCTATTTCCAGTTTCCATTGCTATTATGATGTCATCTGTGTAGAGTACCGTTAGTATGTTTTGTTTTGGTTAAGGTATAACCCATGTGATACCAGTTGCATCTATTTCTCCATCCTATGGTTAGCAAATATGTTAAAATAAAAACCTGGAGATAATCCACAGACTAGAGTCATTCCTTTGTTAGTTTCAAAAGATTCAGTGATTGTCTTATCTTTCTTTCCTTTTCCTTTTTCTATTGAGTCTTTGACGATGCAACAAGCCTCTGAATCCATTTTGGGCATCGAGCGTCTGATATGGAATGAAGATCTGTTGTGTGTGTGTTGTTGGTTGGGGTTGTTTTGGTTTTTTGTGTCAAGTCCATCACATTGCAGTCAGTGCCTTTAATCCCTTTGGCCAGGAGCCATTAGTAACCTGGGGTTCCCAGACGAGTCACCCACCTTAGGAACCAGTAGTGTCTTCAATTGCTTAACTTCCATGAATTCCCAGAGCTTAGTTAAGCAATTCAGCTCACACCGCCAGCTACTCTTAATCTTCATTCTTGAGTCTGAATAGAGGTTTTATATTCCTTGAATTATATCTCTGGGAATTTTTCTATATTCATAATTTCCCAAAATTTTCATATACAATTCTTTTATTTTAAAATCAATATGTCACCTGGGCCCTATTTATTAGACTATGCACTCTGACACACCTACCCACATGCACACACACACACTAATTATGAATACTAATTTCAAAATCGTTGAAATGCAACTTAATGCACACCAAGATAAATATACCTATAAACGCAAATAGTAAAACATGAAAATGATTTGCAAACATCTCAATTTTGAGAGAGGCCAGTGGAAATGTGCAAATCATTCCTTGTAAAGACAGCCCTAAGACCTTGCTACTATTTACTTTCTCAAAAATCCATTTACATAATTCGATTACAATTTATCGAGGTTGTAGGACTGAAAAGCGTGGAAAATCTCAGCCTGCCACAGGATTATATATTCATAAGATTCTTGTATTCAATTATCACATAGAAACAAATTTGCAGAACAAATTTAACAGAAAAGAAAAAAAACTACTTTTATTATCTTTTGTTTACAACTTTAGAAAAGTGAGACCTTTTATGCTCAATGAATTTGCTCAGACAAAATTTGCTCAGACCCAAAGGTACAAATAACATAATTGCACTTATACTTGACCATTTTGTGTGCTTGTTTTAATAACAAAATTAAGAAATTTTGAACTTTAACTTCTTACATTTCCTTTTGGGGCAATTTGTCCACATTTACATATCAAATATCTATTCTTTCTCCAAACAATAAGGATTAATCAATAAGAATCATTTTACCATTTTATTTTCAGGAGCAAGAAAGAACAACTATAAGATTACTTTGAGAGAGAGAAGAAAACAATCATAGAAGAAATAAATAACCAATTCTCATATAAAATTGTTTTTATGTACTTTTACGAAATGAAATAATTATTATATTAATTTTTCTCTTCTAAAAAACAAATCCATTATTTTTGGGCAGTCCTTACACAACAATTCACAAGTAAAAAGTTGGCAAAGTTCACATACCTCTGCTTCAGTGTCTTTCGAAACAAGGGTCCATTTCTTGGTCGGTACATGGTAAGCCCACAAATCACTAAGATCTTGATTTCCATCCCAACCACCAAATAAGTAGATAGTTTCATTGTATGGATCCATGCACATTTGGTGGCCTCCTCTCATGCCAGGCTGAGTCTCTGTGTCAGCCAGCTGCATGGGCTGCCACACAGGACGATACTCCTGTTGCCCAATGTACTGACTGAATAAACCACCTGTTCAATGTAATCACAGAAATTAACAAGATTATCATCGCTGCTTCCACAATGAACTAGTGAGAATGTGCAGCACACAAAAAACCTCTTCCTCTTAGTGTTATTGGTCAACAATTACTAAGATTTTAAAAATTGTGCATGACATTTTAAAGATCTACAACTGAATGAAGTTATGCAGAACCATCCAAAGCACAAGCATCAATATGCCTTGCATATGCATACATTGCAATATGCATACATAAAACACATCTTAAAATTTTGATTTAGGCTACATGCTAAAAATTAAATATGGGTGTGATGCAGTTGTAGAAAAGTTACAAAAGTACTGTTTCTTATCATTCAGTATTAAGCTTCGAAGACTAATGAAATGAGGAATGTTTATACATTCTAAAACAAAACAATCACTATTCACTGTGAATACAGAGTTCAACACGTCTCATACATATAAATGCCCTTTCACAAATATGAGCAAAAAAATAAAAATTTCAAGCAAAAAGTCTCAACCATTTTCCACTAAATGTTCAAAATATACAAGTGCTTCAAGTAAAGTACCCCTAAAATTTAAGTATCTTAATGATCTTCTGAAATGCACAACTTGATCTTACTCCTGATGTATTTACCAAGTTTCAACTTTATAGCTTCTAATCTAACAGGCATGATTCATCCATCCAAATACTTCTCCTCCTACCTTTCAAATACTTCTCCTCCCTATAATATGGTTTAGGGAAAATAACATCACTTGGGACAACTTACAGGATACTCTGAATCAGTCACTAAATCCACTTGTATTAACAGAAGAATGCAATTGAAATTTAACATTCAAATTGTTCCCTCTGTTACAATGCAATAGTAAGCCAGTAACATTCATTAGCAGATGAATGCCTCATTATATTTAGGGGCAAATTACTACAACATTAAAAAAGACCTGGAGATCATGAAAAACTTGAAGAGTTACTCAATTTGAAATCTTGTACAGTGTTACTTGCTCAAGCAGCCACCTTGATTAAGCAGTCTCCTCCTTTAATGGTCACTTTTTCTTGGAACCAACAAATTTTTCCTTAAAATACTTCAAAACATTCCCTCATTTAAGCAGCCATCTCACCCCCACAGCCAGCAGCCAGTGACATTTGTTAGATTGCTGCACAAAAACTGTTCCAATATCTTATAATTCTATTGATGAATAAGAAGTTGTTGTGACAAATATGTCAATGGAACTAAAACATGATACTCCATGTTAGTTTTAAATTGCAGAAATGAAAGGCAATGGTACAAATATCACAGTCATTTTCTAAATGAAATAATTTTTTTCACAAGACAAGAAAATCAACATTCATTACTATTTTATGGTGTATTGCATCAGATTAATATTTAAAGATCTGGGGAAATGAAATCTAAAAATGTAAGACTTCCAACACACAAGAAACGCAATCATATTATTTCATGCATATGAAGTATGAACCTCACAATAATAACCAATTTCTATTTAACAAGTAATGGGATGGAGGAAACAAGATTATAAAGAAATCTATCTAATATGCAAAGGATTACAAACTATATTATGATTAATAGACTCAAAATCAGCTTCTTTCACTAAATAGCTTTGAAAATGATATAATTTTTGCATTAAAACATGCAGCCTAGCATTAAACACCCAATGAAGTTGGTAATTTTTTCCAGCAATTTTCCAATAGGAAAATCTGAAAATGGAAATCACTATTTACTGAAATTTTAAAATATTACTTACTGGAGACTGAATGTTCCATGAAGTGTTCTGTTCCTTCATAGTCACCTTTCGTAACCAATATTTCATGCAATTCACTCAGAAGAGGATCTTCTAACTTAACTTGTGTATGCCTTTGCAAACTTTCAAATGCTGAATGGTAATTATGTTGCCGAAAATGTTTGAGACATAGTCTTACAACCTCTTGTTCTCGATACTAATGAGGAAAAAAAAGTATTACAAATCAAACAGTAGGGGGGAAAATGTTAGAAGTAATAACCTTTTCTTCTTTTTTGTACAAAAAAATAATTCTCACCGTGTTAAACCAATCAAGACAAGGTTTCACAATAGTCCAGTCATCCAAACCAGTGAGTTCCACAAACCAAATGCTAAAATTAAAACTAGGTCCCCATGACTGCAAAGGCATAATTTTAATATATCGGCAAGGGAAAGGTCTGTCTCCAACTGTGTGTCTCAAATGGAAGGTTTCTGCTGTGCTGTCATTTTTGAGACCACTGCCAACAAAATTTTTAAAAATCAAAATATTATTACATGACACACTTTACAAGACAGGAGTATGCAATACTGGAGAGTTATTACCTTTCCAACAATTCAGTCATGTTTTCATCAGACAATCCACCATACACTTTAAATTTCTTGAGGTTGCAAACGTGAGTTTTTTCATATTTCCCAAAAGTAATGGAAACCACAATTGAATGCCTTTGAAGTTTCAATGTTATGAACTGCGGATGATTGTTGGTATCAGATGACCACCTAGATGACTGATCGTTCGACTTATCTTCTTGTATATTCCTTCATTAAGTACAGAAACATATTATGAAAATTAAAAATCATAATATTAATCGTGAAAGAGTAAGGTTATGTTCTACATGCTTCCGTGACACTTGTTATTAGTATTATTTTCTCAAGAAATAACATGTACCGTTTGCTTACAACTTACTCTGGAAAATATGTAGATGAAAAACTGGAACACTTATGAATAGTATACACTAATTTCTTCAATGAATCTAGTTGAAAAGCCGCCATGTTTCACTACTGACGGACTGGACACAGGCAACTTGTCAAGAAAAGAAAACACGCCGGCCGCCTTCCGCAAGTTATTTATATATTCCTTCAAGGTTAGTAACATAACAGCCGTAAGCGCTCCCAACCTACCGGCAGTATTACCGAGATTTAAAAGAATGTTTTCATCAATATTCGGATTGTTTTATTGAAAGTGCAGATTAGAATTAAAACCCCAGCCCGGTAAAAGAGTTCAGTTTTAACCAAGCACCTGAAAGAACATTGGGGTCAGTAAGTTTTCTATAGTTATTTTATTACGTGGGACGCGTTACTTTACTTTCGCCCTCACAACGAATGTTTACACCAGCACCCATCCTCATAATATGCGCCGAATTACGAAAAGTTTCAACACTTTCTAGCGTTGTTCAAGACGTCAGAACTATGATTTCTGGCCTATATACCTGCGAAATGATGTTATGAAAAACTACGCGCTATTTTCGGAAGGAACAATCTAAAAGTATGTCGCAAAATTAGATGAAATCGCATGTACTGTTTCCTTCCAATTTAGATTTTGAAATGCGCGGCATCTTACCTTTCGACACATTTGCGTCGATATAAATCTCGGTTTATTCAACGCTGTACATTTGATTACATTTGGCACTAATACTGTATTTAAATTATTTCACATTTAACAATATAAAATTCACCCTCTTTTTTACTTTCTCGCCATTACTTCGTTAGAAGAGAAAATATTGTAATCGTGCGCCAGAAAAAGGTGAATTTTCGTCAGAAAAATTTTTGTTACCGGGCCCTGATATTGAAAAAGTGGATAAATCATGTTCATATATCTAAAAAATTACTTCTTCTAATATATTGTGCAGTCAGAATCCATGTTTTGTGGGTGCTTGATACGGGAAAATCTATTGATAGCAAACGTCTGTCCGTCCGTCTGTGGTCAACGCTAAAGTCTAAACCGTTCAGCCGATTTTCTCCGAAATTGATATTCCCCGATCAATCTGAACGAACTCGAGACTGCGAGTTTGAAATGGATAATTTGGTTTTTGTGGGCACTTTACATAAAGCCCCAACATTTTCCAAATTTTCTCAAAATTTTTGGATTAAACTTTGTCTTTGACTAACGTGAAGAACGCCTAAAAAATGGTACAGGTCTAGTTGAAATCACTGATTTTTCGAAAATTGCAGAATTTAAATTTTTTGGCGTCTTCCTACAACTACAATTTTAAAGATAAAGATGTATTTTTCCTTAAGTAAATTTGTTCTTTGAAAACATCTTGAATGAAGGTTGTAAGTAATGTTTCGCAAATATGAGTAGTTTTCGCGGAATTGTGCGTGAAATATATGCAATTTTTAATTTTTTAAACATTTTTTTCGCAAAACCGGCTCAAAAACTTTTTTTTTTAATTTTTACCTCGATTGGTGAAATTTTTTTCCAAAGAATGGTGAAGACATTGGCGCAAGTGCCATTTTCGGCAAACTCTACGTTTTTTCGAATATTGCAAAAAGTTAACACTTCAAAAATACAAAATTGGAAGATATAGATTTTTGCATTAAACAGAATCTGTTATAAAGATCAGCTCTGTAAAAAAGTCCGCGTGCAATTTTTTGAAAAAGTTGAAAGAAGTTTTCACGTAAATTCTGACTAAAACTAATGCAAATTATAAAAACGTTTTCTGAAAATCGTTCGAATTTTATTCTTTACATTTATTTCATGGATATAAGAAAAGACGGTTTGGAAATGAACGCCTCATTTTATTTGATCTTTCTAAATTTTTGAAAATTGCATGTTGGAAATATCGGGCAATTCAATTTTTAAGCGTTGGCCAGAGGTAGAACGTCACCGCGATTCAATGGCGGAGCGGTAAACCACACCGAGAGTTAAGGGCCTGAATTCGAGTCGCAGTGCGGAATAAAATGCTGATTGAAAACGGTTATACAGGTTCATGCAGTAGTATATTATTGAGTAGCAGTTACAAATAATGCGAGAAAATATTTGCTGTTGTAGCACCACTAGTCTTTCCTCGTTTGTAACAAACGGATAAGAAGTTAGAGCTGGTCCCTCTGCATTTTCGAAAATTCCAAACAACAACAAAAAATTAACATTGCAAAAGTGAAATTTTGAATATATTTTCTGTTAAATGAATCTGTTCTAAAAAGTCAGTTTATTAGCAAAGGTCATGTATTTTTTTTATATAAGTAGTTTAGCGTAATATTTTTCCAAATTGCAAATTCAAATTTCCCGCACTTCTTTTGCTAGACTCGTTCAGGAGGTATCAGATTGAAATACTCTGCGCTCTGGCACAGTTTCTGAGAATTCCTGCTCGTTTTGGAATATGTAAGAAGATGAAACGCATTTAGTATTGACGAATGTATTATCGGATTTTGTTGATATATTAGCTTTCAAAGAATGTTTTCGCGCCGAATGTTGTGCGATTTGATTTTTTTGAAGAGGAGTCTGAATTAGTATCGGGTTTTAATGTTGAATATAGACGAGGTGATTTTGCACTAATTTTTATGGCGAATTATTCAAGAATTTTTTATAAGAATATTAACTGTTTTGATTTTTTTGGGGGGGGTAATTTATTTACTTTATTATTTTATCTAATATGAGTTCTTTGTATCATTTATTTTTATTTGAGTTCGAGGGACTTTACCGCGTTTTCGTTATGATAAATTGATGTATTTGGCTTGAAGGAATTATTTGATTTTTTTGTTGTTGTTTTTTTTCGTTTTGAATAAATAGTATATAGTATATACCCTCCTAATATTTTTCAGTAACTTTTAGTTTTAACTTGTCACGAAACTTTCAAGCCAACAAATTTTCGCATAATCATTAAAACGAATAAAATCGTATCCCAGTAGCCCGAGCCTATTACAAAATCTGTAATATGACACATTCGACCAAAATAATTTGAACTTTCCCTCCAAACATTCGTCGCTGGACCAGCCCCTGCTATAGCACTATATTTTATTTAATTGTTTGCATTTCCTGAACTATAATAATGCATTTGGAATGAGTCTTTTGACTTATTTCCAAAACATTTAAATCTCTTTTCATTTGCAGTGCAACATCAAGACAAACGATTTCAAAAGACCATACCACTTGAAAATCTCTTTTGAAGATTTTTATCTCCAACAAAATTATTATTTTATTATTGAGGATGTAAATAACACAGACCTCAGAATTATTTGATGCAGTAATTTCATTTTATCAGTTTTGATATGTACTTTATACAATAATCTGCATCTAAATCAATATCAAAACGGGGTAAAATTATGCTGAAAACTTTGCAACCAGCAAATAGCTGCTATAAATTACCTACTCCTACCGCTGGAAATAATATGGCACATTGCAATTGCAAAAATAGTCTAAAATTTCAATCAAAACAATTAAAACATAAAACTTGAACATGCAGTTTAATTGGATAAGCAAACATAAAATAGGGGAATAACAGAAAAAAACAACAATTTTTGTTATTGGGATAAGATAGATAACAAGAAACAATAGGAGTCAATGATTAGGATTTTTGTCAACTTACGTTATAAAGCTGTGTACAATGTTAGAGAGAGCCAAACTACTGCTTTTGTTGTTAAGCAATAGAATAATCTAAGATTTAAGCAACAATTGGCTCAGGTAATTGAAGAAAAAAATTAGAAAGAAATATATTGAAAAATATTTGAAAACTTTTTATTATGTCACAGTTCTCGTGATAATAGGGAAATTATTTCTACTTCTATGAAATTCCGGTTTGGAAACAAATTGCCAGCTAACTCGCTCAGATCGTGATTTTTACGGTCTGACAACGACCAGTATTTAAAAAGATTCAAAACAACGAAACTTTGAAGGAGCATAAGCCCTGAGCAGACATGCCAATCTCAAGGACATTATGGCATTGCCCAATTTACCAAAGTCTTTTCGCCCTACTTAAACGTGGAATTTTTTGCCATTATTAGCTATCACTGTACAAAAATACATAGATATATATCTATAATGTCACTTTTTATGATTTTGCTCTTACTAATTGAGTGCTTTTTTATGTTCAATCTTATGCCTCAATTTTTCATTCCTTGGACACGCGATGTATTGGTACTAGTAAAGAAACTAGTCAACGGTAGGTCTTTATGTAGTATTAAAATATTTTTATTTTCCTTTATTATCTATGAAACAAAGTTAATTAGAATAATTACGTTAAACTCAGTCTAAGAGTTCCTATTTTGTTTATATAGGTTTCGTAAAAAAACGTACCTTGCAAATAAATATTTTTAAACGTAATATGGACTCTCTATCTACTAGGGAATTTCTCGCTCAAACCATCTTAATGCAACCTGGTGGCAGAATGCTACTATTTACATATTACAATTAGACACACACAAGAGAGAGATTTTCAATAGACAAAAAATGAAGTTGGAAAATTCAACCCCAAACTATGATGACTGTTAAGAACACGCAGAGTATAAAGTACCTTACAGTAAAAGAACTGAAGGAATTTCGATAAGTTGAGCCGTTTATATAGAGAGGAGTATTAGACTGCGTGGATCTGCGTAAAAGACATACAAGAAAACTTCATCTGGATACTTGGTAGAAACAGTTATGACATAAGGTACAAAATTATATAATTGAGAAAATAGGCACATAGATGTTGAAGTAATGCTCACGGCACACTGAATATCGCAAGGTGTTGTAGTTTGAGTGATTACTAAACTGCAGTGGAAGGAGGAATAGTTCGAATAGCTTCTCAAGGAGTTATTGGGCCTGTCGTAGGTAACAATGAGGCGCGGACTGGAATATAATTCTTCGGTCATGTTGACGTTAAGCGCTTTGTAACGTTAAAAGAGAAGAATTTAAAGCAGGCATTCATCGTCTAACGTACGAATGTTTCATTCCTCAACCCAATTTTTGCAGTGTTTCCAATGTTTACGATTTGGACCCAGATCTAGATGTGCGAGAATCAAAGTATGTCATTTGTGGTAAGCCATTTCATAGTGATGATCACCTGCTAGAATCTATAAAATGCTTTAATTGCAGTGGAAAATTCATCGAGGTAGAGATGCTACTATCATACAGCAGGAGCGAATTCAACAAGTTCTAAGGCAGACAAAATACTAGCTTACTGAAGCCAAAAAACTTGTGATCTGAATAAAGGTAATATTACTAGTGGAAGCAGCTTACTAAAACACCAAATTTTAGCTTTTTAGTGTGGAAAGAATAAGCCTGCAATAACGATGCATAGAAAGTACTTCAACGGAATTCACAAGAAAATCAATTAC